TAATAAAAAGATGAATGAAGTATTGTTTCCTTAAGAATGCCATATTTAGATTTGATAGAAGTGAACCTAATTTTAAGTGAACAAATACACATTAATTGATTTTGATTGTATTAAACTAATATTTTTTAAAGTATCGAATAAAACAATATGAAGTGATTGACAAGTTTTGGAGAATCAAATTGACGAAGAAATTGAATTCAGAATACATCTCTATTTTTCAGTTTACCCCAATTCTCGTAATTAACAATTTTTGAATAAATATATAATATATTTAATAACCTTTTTCGAGTAGAATTAAACTAATTTTTATAGACGATCTCATTCCAATATCCTAAGGTTCGACTCTTTGCTTCCTAAATCACCATTTTATCAACCCCCCCCCCCCCCCCCCCCCCCACCACAAGCTTTGCCTCCGCATCCACCACCCTTTTTTTTTTTTTAACTCTTTGAGGAGAGTCCAAGTAGAATACATTAAAAAGGCAAAAGGCAAAACCATGCAGGTCAAAAATAATTCCTGACCAACACTTACCGGTCTGGAATCGTGATCTGAGGTTCTTCGTGATTCATAGTCTGAATTCCTCTTTGAGAAGTCTGATCCACGATGGTCATCATCTCTGTATCGCTTGCGATGGTAATCTGTTTTCTCGAAGTCACAGATTCAGTAATGAACTAATCGTGGAAAAACATCAGGAAGCATAAAAAAGGAATAGCACCATACCTCTGCCATGTCGACGAGAGCCCCCATAATCCTGATTTCCACCATGTCTACCATCTACAATAGTAGTAGGTCAGGTTGCAGAACAGCTAATAGTTATAGAAAGTGATTATTGTGTAAAATAATAATAGATCCGTCATCTCAACTGCTCAAACTAAGAAGCAGTTGATAACTTTGTAGGTAAAGTCTTGTCAAAGAGTAGAGGTGGTAATGGTTAAGTACCCAAATTTTTCTTCAGTCCCAAAACAGAAATTACTAGCTAGATATTCTCAAACCTTATCAGGTGCCCTACAGAGTTTTAATTGTATTTCCCATCCATATCAGCTCTCATGAACAAAAGAAAAATAAACCACATGATCAAAAATAAAAACATAATCGAAATTCTTTACTAAAATAGAAAATATAGAAATAAATAAACATGTCAAATTGTTCTTCAAAAAGTTCAACGCCGAATCATTTACTGTGTAGCACTGATTGGCCAGCAAAATTTACCCAACAAGGAATTAGCAAGTTCAGTTCTGTAGTTAATATGCCAAGTCCAGTAGAGATTAAAAGCCAAGCAATTTAGCGAGTGATAGTGACATCATGATAATTTACAAGATCTAGTGAAAGGCAAAATGGACGCATCACAAAAACATACATGGCTACAAGGAACATCATCACCCTGTATAAGTTTTAAAAACTACAAAAATACATAAACAGCTATGAAGTTCGAAGTTTGAAATTCAGGACTGCCTAAATATAATGCTTCTTCATGATATCTTAAACAAAATCAATATGTTACTATACCAATATTTACAAGATTTCATGTAGGTCTTAGAGAATCATAAGGTCAAACCTACACAAGTGAAGTACACTGTCTTATATGAAGCTACAGTTATTTAAAGGCTTGGTGTCTGAACAAACATGGAATAGCATTTGACTTACACTGAGGCATGATAACAGGTGGGAATGAACCTAGCGATCCAGCACCATAATCCACTAGCTGCCTCTGTGCTTCCAACTCTTTCTGAACTAATTTCCCGTAACCACCTCTACGTGTCACTAGTTGAGGAAATTGAGAACATATGTTTTCCTACTGAAGGTGCAATTACTCAAATTATAATTAAAAATAAGGAATAGAAGTATTATATATAGCATCCAGCATAATGTTCTCTTTCCTCATATTCCCAAAAGGTATAAATATCATGCAACGGGCAAAAAGCAGGTGAGTATGGACTCACTAATGGTCGATTATCTATTGCACAACTCATCATTCACACATTAACTTAACACAAGTCATTAATTAACAATTCCGATCAAAAGACTCTGTAATTACAAGAGATCAGGAATTGAATTCATTATAAGATCTATTTAGTTTTTTTTTGAAGATGATTGAATTATGAGTTCAATACATCTTGTTTAGTAGAAATGCTGGGTGTTCCCAGTGGAAAATTGCCTACTCATTCTATGGGACTGCCCTATGACAAGGCCAGTGGGGGAGCAACTCATCCCTCACAACCTTCACCAGCATTTCTTTGGCCTAAACCTCGGTAACCTCGGAATATGCTCAGTTACAGCTGCTGGCCCTCCATCCATGACTTGTAAGACAGAGAGCTGAGTGTCTGTTACACTCCGATGTAGTTTAGCCTCCTTAACAAAAAACAATTACCATGTTGCCTCTCTAAGGTTCCAAATTATGAAAATAACTTTGCATACAGACAACGAGAAACCAAATGATAGACATACATGTGCATATATTCCTCCAGGATTGACACCAGATATCAAAGCTATAAAAATCAAAAGTATTATAAGTGTAAGCGACATAAGAAGGATATCTGGATCATAATCAGTACGATACTCATCCCGAACCTGAAAAGGAAAACATGAATTAGATGGAGTACTATATTTAGAGAAGAGCGTGAAATTTTACATGCATCACCTGCCCACCACTTTTACCACGGCCCCATTGCCTGCCTTCTTGAAACCCCCAATCAAAATCAACACGAATAGGACGATCATCAAGAATTGTCCCACTAATGTACTTGACTGAATCTTCAGCATCTTCTCTTGAGTAGTACCTGATAAGACCAAGTTTGTAAAGCTAAGTGCAGCAACCAACCATTTCTGCCTTACCTTTTTCTCAAAAGAAATACTAACAATTTTTAAGGTACTCAGATATCAGTACTAGCTTGCAGGGAGATGCAAGTAGTTCAGCCAGATTTACTCAAGGACAAGGATAATAAAAACTGTAGAAATATAAAGCAGCATTCTCTGGAGCATCTACTTTTCTTAGCTGTAAAATAACACAAAAATCATCACTGGGAAGGTACAAGCCTCAGCTTACAAAAAAACCCATAAGAAACTACTGCTTCAACTACCAACAATAGTAATCAAAAGTTTTATAGCATAATAGTTTTGGTTATATTTTGTACACCAGATTAGGCCATGTATAAGGAATTTAATATAAAATTTTAATGTATAATACTATGTGGATGATATCACGGTGGTTTAAGGTGGATAGTATTCTTTAATATTTCATCCCAAAAAAGGTCATTTGTAATGCAGATGTTAAAGGTGGCTTTAGGATAAGAAAAGCTATAGTAAATGACATTTTTAGAATGAAAAAGAAAATGATACTACTACTTTAATCCACCATAATTCCCTCTACCTAGTAGTATCCATTATTATTTTATATTAAGTTTTTTATATGGTTTAGTCTGGTGCGCCAAACACAACAATTATGTTGCATTTTTATTGCTGAGAGAGGAATAGGAGGAAACTACAAAAAGAAAATGTTAAGCTATGGTGCATTAGCATAACACTTAGTTAAAATGCTGGAAGAGCTTACAATATGAAGCAGAAGCCACAAGGGGTTTTCGTATTCTTATCCAGACCCATTATTATCTTTTTAATCTCTCCTGCTCGAGAGAATAGCTCATAAACTTGCTCCTCTGTGGTGTAAAAAGACATGTTCCCCACATAAACTGTTGTAGAATTTTGCAGTGTCTCATCAAATTCTTCTTGTGTTCCAGGAAACCTTCTATCCCTGTATACCGAAATCTTACTTGGATCCTAACATTGATTAAAAAACAATCAGAAAAGGTTATTAAGAAAAAGAAACTCAAAATTCAAATAAGGGGTCTCTTTAGTCATCAAGGAAGGTGGTAGTGAATCTTCGGGTCTTCGTTTTAATGCGAAATTCTTGTCTAATCACACTATCGGTTTCAAGTTATCCATAGCCAATCAAGTGGCATCCATAATCGTAAGAAATATATAACTCATAAATTAGTTAACTAATCTATTTGAAGTTTCCAATTATTTTTCACCGTTTTGCAGCATTTTCTAGTTGTTTTCAAATATATTATCTAAGAAATTGCCTCACAACATAAGAAATGCACCAACTTTAAAGCATAAGAAGCTGCGTTTAAATGTTGTAGTAAATGTTTTGCAGCCAGTACATTTTCACATCACAATAGCAATCCAAATATAACAGTGTGTGTGTGTGTGTGTCTGTGTGGAATGCGCGAACTGAGAAGAAAGCAAAAGGAACTTCATTCCAACGACTAAAAGTAAAATAGAACCTACACCAAAATTAATCGAGAATCATATTTCTTTCCAAAAAAAAAAAAAGGAAATTATACAAGAACCCTAAAAAATCGAAAATTTACCTTGAACAGGGAGGCCATTAGACTTTCCACTTCCACTGCCAAAAATCAAGAAAATCCAAGGGATTTACAACTTACAAAGGCATGAAAAAAATGAAGAGAATAGCAGAAGGAAATTGCCCCAATCGGATTTTGATTCTTCGAGAAACTTGGCCGGTTCTTAAAAACTAGGCTGGACCGTTCAATTCGAGTTTCCACATGTCAACATGTTCGATTCGGTTTTTCCCCTACTGTATAATTAATTTTGCTACATATACGTGGCAATCTGTTTATTGAAATTTAATTTTATCAATCCATTTTTTTTAAACCTTATCAATTCGTAAAAGATTATGCACAAAGTAATGTACCAGAATCATTTTCATTGCGTAATTATCTATACAAATTAATCTTAAAAATAAAATTTTCAATCAATTATTATTGTGTGCATACTTATCTCACTTATCCAATCACTTACAAGTTACAACCAACCTTTTGTCGTTTTCTCAAGTTTGAATATTTTACTTATAATAACTATAAAATAAATTTAAGATTATTTTATTGGTTATAGTTGACAATAATTATTTATTAAAAATAAATCTTACCTTTATGAAGTAGCTTTTTTGTTTTTTTTTTACTTATAAATAAGGAAAAAAATAATATATCTAAACATATTTTCGTTAGCACGAGGTCCAACTTCAATATAGAATAGTACTCATCATTTCAAAGTATTACATATCATGTTTGTAAAGAATAAAGTTTTAAATCTTTTAAATCTATTCGCAACACATTAGTTTACTTATTTAGATAAATAAACAATTTAAAGTATATTAAGAGCCTGTCTGCCCCAGCTTTTGAGCTGAATTTTAATCCATTAATTGATCGTTGAGCCGCAATTATGGACCATTCATCTCACAGGTAGGGCCCACGTACAGAAAAATAACGATCAAAATGTGGCTGAAAAGTTAGGGCAAATAGACGCTAAAGCAACGCTAAGCATCACAATTTAAAGAAAAAGTATATGTTTTATAAAAAAATTCACTTTCTTTAGTGCGACAAAGATTTAATGATTTCACATTCCGACCAAATGGAGGCCGACATAGCCTCAAAGACCATGGAATGCTTTGTTTTTGTTCTGAAAACTAAATCGAATAGGTCAAAATTGGATATTGACCTAAAAAGGTTAAACAATTAAGAGTCGAAATATTCAATTATGATAAAATAGAGAATAATTATATATATATTTATTATAGAACACTACAATATAAGTTGAAGTCATGATGCAACACGTTTATCACAAATTATTTCTCTTATCCTTCTGCTTGACGAACAAAAATTATCGAAGGGAGAAATGTGTCTAACTTCAAGATTACAGGCAATGAAATGACACAAACTAAACTACAGGGACGAAAAGTGCAAATAATCCTTACTCAATTGCCACATTTCATAACCGTTCACTTCAACCGCACTTCACAGTTGAGCTAAGAGCGGCGAGTTCTTTATTTCCCACTCACAAAATAGCAAGAAATTCAGCAAAGAGAATTATGATTACTTTAATCCCACAATCTTCAGCACCGAACCCCTTTCAATTATCCAAATTGTATAACAGCAATTGCCTTTTCAAATCTTCAATTTCCCCAATCCGAGTGAAATTCACCCTGAAACGACGTCGTTTTCACATTCAGGCCTCTTCTCTAGTCCTCCCACTTCTTCCGTTCCCAATTGACCAGGTAGCATCTTTCCTTGTGGTTTTTTTTAATATCTGTTATTTGTTTAGGATATCGGTAGTTTTTAATGTTCTTTTGTGTTTTGGAAAATTTTACCCTAGTTTATTTTATTTTTCGTGCTGGCTTGGGGGTGTAAGGCTGAGTATATGGATAATGGTACTTTTTTTAATATGCTTTTATGTTTTGCAATTTAACTGTTCAGTCTGAAAAGTATTGGTATGAAGAGGGTTTAGATTTTGCTTTTCAGGGTAAAGAGTGGTTTTTCGTCTTTCTTTTTCTATTCAATTAAAGTAGTCTAAATTTATGCTTTATGCAAATTGGAAAAATGAAAATTCATGTAAACTTGCTGTCATGTAAATATATTTGGTGTATGTTTATAGTAATATTAACATAGACATACATGTGCACCAACAAATTCTTTTGTGCATATGCATACTTAAAACACTATTTGACATATCCATTATCCATTTATCTCGACGACAGGGGAAAAAAAAAAAAAAAACCTCGTTCTCGCATGTACGAGTATGAGATTTCATAAGTTGGGAACTAATAAATCTATTCACATTGAATATTGAGACATTGAACTGTATAAAGGCTCATGAATGTGAAACTTTGAATTGAAAACTGAATCCGAGGAAATTTTAACAGGTTCATTTTATTATTTTAATTTAGCGTTTTAAGAGCACAAGCCAAGTTGCAAAACAAAGACGAGAGTTGTTTCTTGTGTGAATGTTTGTCATTGACTATTACCACAAAAAACGTTTCATTGAACATGTTCACATAGATGCCAAATTTTTCTTCTTGTCTATATTACTGTACTTGGTGATGTATCCTTCGAACAAAGCATGAATTGCAGAATTTATATTCAGACGTTTATGTGCATGTTTTTCTGTATGGAAAGTCTTAGGTGACTCGCTCATATTTTAGATATCTTGTCTCTATTTCTATAGGTGCTCGTTCCATCCGAGGCTAAAACGCTTCATCTTTATGAAGCGAGATATCTGGCGCTTCTAGAGGAGGTAAAATATGATTAATTTGTTTTCTCATAACTAAAATGCTCTGATAGTTGAACTCTTCGAAATAGTCAGAATACCCGCGTCGGACATGACACAATACGAGTATGAGTATGAGATATGTGTCGGATCCTCCAAGTTTCAACCAGACACTTCGTCGTTTTTACTTCTTCTTCTTCTTTTTTTTTATCTTTTCCTTTTCTTTCCCATTTCTTCTTTCTCCTTTTTTCTCTCTATAAAACCTAGCGTCACAGCCGAGAGGGTGGAGAAAGGTGGCGGCGCTAGGTTTTCCTTTCTTTTTCTTCTTGTTTCCTTCTTTCTTTCTCTGTATCGGTGATTTAAGGTTTTATTTGTATAAAATGAAATAGGTTCCATATAGTGTTACTTAGGGCTCCACTATATCCAAATTGCAATCAAATCCCACATTTTCTATTTTATATAACATTTAGTAATTCCTATAATTGAAAACTGAACCCTAAAATTCTATTTTATTCGTCTTAATCCCTTATTCAATACTCATTTCCTTCTTTATGAATAATTGATTTTGGTATATTCAAAATGATATCTTGGATTAGTAAAAAAATTGAAGTTTGAAAGAAGTACCCACGGATCCGTGTCCAAAATTTGGACTCTTTTTAGCCTTGTCCCTGTATCCTAGATACGTACACGTACCCGATGTCTGTACTCGAGTCTGAGCATCGTAGCTAAAATGCATTACTTTCTGTGCCTTTGTGATATTACTATCTTACTACACTTTTCTTTGTGAAAATATTTTTGGATTAGAGGATGATCAATTTGTGTGCTACATAAAAGTTTGACACGAACAGAGCAATACTTCTTAATATGGCACTTTACCATCTTTTGTAAGCCCATGTAGGGAGAATAGGTGTTACATGAGTATATAAATTGATAAAGAACAATAAGAAGTAAGGGGATCAAAGGGAAGAATTGAGGGCAAGATAAATAATTTTATTCATGTTCTTCAGTTGTATTTGTAAACATTGCCCTAAGTCTCTTTATATAGAGAAGAACTTCGAAATTAAATAAACTTTCTATCTAAACAAACTTGATAATAAAAGAATACATTGTCAAAATCCAATTACTATAATTTGGATAAACTCGAATTCTACTAATTATTAGTCTTTTGCCTTGAATAGACTTTTAATTGTTTCCTTGTTGTACTTCATGTGTATTATGCATTGATTAATAAAATATTTGATTACCTTTAAAAAAAATTGTTTCCTTGTTGCATCATTCCTCCCCGGTTGAAAAGAACTCGACTCCAACGAGGCATAGTCCAAGTAAGCATTCAAAAGTTTTGGATCTAATTGACTAAATTTTTCTTCATTGATCCAAGTAGCATCACTAAGCGGATGACTTTTCCAACACACAAGAAACCTACAAAAACCCCCATTTTGGGAAGTAATGATCCCATCATCGTGCACCTCATCAACAATATCCTGGTGTGAAAATGTGGCGACTGTGGCTCATGAGAGTGACTGAGAAACTTGTCCTGCAAATATGTTAGAAGAAAAAACCGGAGGCTCGAATGTTCCTTGATAAAGATATAAATTTGCTATATTGAAAACTAGACTAATATTTAAGTGCGTTGGCAAATTAAGTAGATAAGCGTTAGTTCCAAGCCTTTTAATAACAGGAAAATGGCCAATTATCTAGCACAAAGTTTTTCGAAACATGTTTTGGAAAACGTTCATGTGCAAGTTTTATCATAACAAAATCGCCAATCTTGAACTCTTTATGCCTACCATGTGCATCAGCTATTAGTTTATAGTGGTTATTGCTTAAAGCAATTTTCTTTTAATCTTATCATGCAAGTTACGAATATGATTAGCAAAAGATTGAGCAGATGTAACAGGACGAAAATCAGTAGGTAAGGGAACTAGGCTATGACTTGTAGACCTATTAACAGAATTATTGTATGCAAATTCAGCGGTAGGCAATACCAAATTCCAATTACCCAATTTTACCCCAACTAAACAACGAAGCAAATTACCTAGACTACAATTTACAACTTCGTCTGACCATCTGTTTGGGAGTAGAATGCTGATGAAAACTTAAAGAGTTGTCCCAAACAATTTCCATAGAGTTTTCCAAAAGTAATTAACAAATTTAACATCACGATCAAAAACAATAGTGACTGGCAGTCCGTGAAGGCGAATGACCTCTTTGAAGAATAACTTAGCGATATATGATGCGTCAATAGACTTGGAACATGGAATGAAATTGGCCATCTTAAAGAATTTATCCACAACAACGAAAATTGAATCATGACTCTTAGCGGTTTTAGGCAACCCTAGGACAAAATCCATGCTAAGGTCACGCCAGAGAGTATGTGGAACAGGAAGAGGAGTGATGCCAATCGCAATGCATGAAACCAATAGGAAGAAGAGACGAGAAAATAGGAAAGAAAGGGGAGGAAGAATGTATTTTATTCAATAATCAAGTCTGTTTTATTACAATTAACGGACCTCTTTGTATAGGCCAAAAAATGACTAATAAGGAAATCATGACTACTAAGGAAAATTATGATATTCCATTTATACAATCAATTTACCAAAAATGAGTAAAATTCAATGATGGAAAATTATATTGTAATTGTTGTTAATTTCGATTACGCCTGGAATATACTTTCCAATTTGCATCATTCCTCCTTGGTTGAAAGGAACTCGACTCCGGTGACGTTAATCCAAATAGGCATCCAAAAGCGTGGTATCCAGTTGACGGAACTCATCTTCATTAATCCAAGTAGCATCACTAGGTGGACGACCCTTCTAACGCACCAGAAACCTACGAAACCCACCATCCTGTGAAGCAACATACTGAACATCAAGTACCTCATCAATGATGTCCTGCACAGAGAACATGGTAACAGGAGCTCGAGGAGGCTGCCGAGATGACTATCCTACAGAAATATTAGACGAAAAAACTAGAGGCTCGAACGTGCCTCGATAAGGATGTAATTCTGCTATATTGAAAACAGGACTAATATTTAAGTGGATTGGCAACTCAAGTAAATAAGCATTAGTTCCAAGCCGTTTAATTATGGGGAAATGACCTAGTGATCGAGTACAAAGTTTGTTGGCAGCATGTTTAGGAAATCGTTCAGGTGCAAGTCGAACCATGACATAATCGCCCACATTAAATTCTTTATGCCTACGGTGTGAATGAGATGATAATTTATAATGATCATTGCTTATAGAAATTTTACGTTTAATCTCATCATGCAAGTTACGAATATGATTAGCAAAAGCTTGGGCGGAGGCAGCAGGGCAAAAATCGGTGGGCAATGGAAGTAGATCAAGCGGCTGACGTGGAGAGAAACCCTGAACGACCTCGAAGGGGCTATGACGGGTAGATCTATTAACAAAATTATTGTAAGCAAACTCGGCCGTGGGTAACACGAGATCCCAATTCCCAGGTTTATCCCCAACTAAACAACGAAGTAGATTACCAGAGTGTCTTCCAGAATGACCAGCGAGACCCCCGACATGGAGTTCCCAAACTAGGAAATCACGAAGTGAGGTACGGGGAATACAAAACTTGGTACCTTTGAAGAGAGAACCATTTTTAAGCAAGAAATAAGCATGGGTGCAATAAGGATTGTTTGAAAGGTCTCGAAAGATAATGCTAAAGTCAGGTGAACTAGGATAATCGTCCTTCAAACATTCAAATCCTACTACAGTAGTGCTCAAGGAATGGAGTACTGTAGTGATACGACTAAGAGCGTCGGCCGCTTTATTTTCGACCTCGGCCCAATGATGGAGAACAAAAGTATACTCCTGAAGGAATTCAACCTACTTAACATGTCGCTCACTTAAATGATAATGTGAGTTAAGGTAACGGAGAGCCTGATGATCGGAATACAGGACAAACTCTTGAGGCAATAAGTAATATCACCAGTGACAGAGAGATTGGACAATGACATAAAATTCCTTATCATAGGTAGAATACTTCTGCTTAGCCTAGTTTAACTTTTCACTAAAGTAAGCGACAGGGTGACCGTCCTGACTCAAAACACCCCTTATACCCACACCGGAAGTATCACAAGCAACCTCAAAAACCTTAGAAAGATCCAGGAGCCGTAAAACAGGAGCCTTGATCAACTTTTGCTTGACAGCTAAGAAGGCTCTCTGGGCCGAAGGGGTCCAACGAAAATCACCCTTTTTCATGCACTCAGTGATGGGAGCAGTGATGGAGCTAAAACCTTTAATAAATCTCCTATAGAATGATGCGAGCCCATGAAAACTACGAACCGCAGTTAACGTGGAAGGTTCGGGCCAATCGCGAATAACAGAGATTTTAGTTGGATCAGCAGAAATACCCTGGGCAGAAATGATGAACCCTAAGAAGAGGACTTGAGGCTGGAGGAATGAACACTTTTTCAGGTTAGCATATAATTGTGTAGAACGAAGAACTAGGAAGACCCGTTGAAGGTGATCTAAGTGAGCCTCTTGCGACCGACTATAAATTAAAATGTCATCAAAATAGAATACGAGGAACTTTCCAATAAAAGGTCGCAAGATATGGGTCATGACCCGCATGAAAGTGCTAGGTGCATTAGACAACCTAAAAGGCATAACCAACCACTCGTATAAACCATCTTGAGTCTTAAGTGCCATTTTCCATTCATCCCCTGGTAATCCGTATTTGATGATAACCACTCCGTAGATCAATTTTGGAGAACCACAAAGATCTTGCCAGTGCATCCAACATATCCTCAAAGTCGTAGAATAGGAAATCTGTACTTAACTGTGATTTTGTTAATGGAGTGACTATCAACATACATGCACCATAAGCCATCTTTCTTAGGGGTGAGCAAAATGGGAACCACACTAGGGCTAAGACTAGGGCGAATAAAACCTTTGGTGAGTAAAGCATCAATTTGCTTATTGAGTTCAGCTCGCTCAGCCGGGTTCATTCTATAATGGGGGTGGTTTGGCAATTGGGAACCAGGGACAAGATCAATAGCATGTTGAATATCCCGCATGGGAGGAAGCTCATCAGGGAGGTCGACAGGCAGAATATCACTAAACTCATCGAGTAATGGAGTTACCCCTGGTGGAAAATCGATTGGAGAATCACAAAGGGGTTGTGAACAAGCTTGAGCAACCGAAGCAAACATAAGCCCGACGTCTTGACTTTCACGCTCAAAATCCTTAAGAGACAGCAGTTGAATACGGGCGGCCGGAACACCCTTGGGTATGGAGATGGGTGTTGTTTTCTTCGGGGCGTCTAAGGGTTTGCCGTTGTGGAGAAATTCATACGTGTTGTCACGCCCGAAATGTTTGACATCATGATCATAAAGCCAAGGGCAACCCAAAAGGACATGAGCAACGTCTATAGGTAAGACATCACAATAAATGTCCTCCGAAAAAAAGGATCCAAAGTAAGGCAGCGGTGAGTGACGCGTAAGGAGGTCCCGTCAACCCATGCTACTTTAAAAGGATGAGGGTATGGTTCAGTTCTGAAGCCGAAGTTGGCCACGGCAAATTTGGATACGACATTCATAGTGCTACCCTCGTCAATGACTAACTTGCAAGAACGAGAATTGCAAGGGATGAATGTTTGGAAAATTGAAGTTCGTTTCCACGAGTCAGAATCAATAGGGGTGGAAAGGATAATCTAATAGAGACAACAGTCGCCTCCTCCTCATAAGGCTCAAATTGGTCAAGATCCTCATCAGAATGGTCAATAAGGTTGGCCGTGAAACACTCATTCTCTGGGGTCGGAAGAAGGGGCTCTTGTGCAAAGGCGAGGGCACGATTGGGACATTGAGAGGCAATATGACCTCGAGCATGACAACTATGACATACAATTTGAGATGTAGAGCCTCGAGACGTGGTGGGAAAAGCAGGTGGACCCTTAGAGATTTCGCGAGGAATGGGAGTGGAGGACGATCCAATAGTCTAGCAAGTCTGGGTCGACATGGGCCACCAGTAGGAGTGCCGGCCAAAGGGGGTCGAAAGATGGGAGGCGTAGCCGTGTAGGTGTGCGAATGGTGGTGGACAGGCGAATGAAGGTGGGGATTGTGGATGATGATGGTAGGGTGTGGTGCAGGTGGCTTAGGCGAAGTGAAATTGGTGGGAAGAAGCGGCTGCCAGAGACGGGTGGAGTTGCGGTGGAGGGAGCTGGGAATTGGGATGGGGAGTCACCGAAGATGGAATTTGGGCTGAATCTGGTGAGTTTTGGCTAGACTTGGGTATAATGTGCTGATAAGGGCCAGACTGTTGTATAGGAAATGGGCTTATGTTGCTAGAAAATTAGATGGGCCGGAGGTTCTGGTTGTTTTCAGGTTTGCAGTTGGGTTAGGGTTTTCAAAGTGGAGCAACAGTTTATTGAGCAGCAATATGAGCAAAGCAGCCAGTAAGATGACACTGAATTCTGATTTTTTTTTTACAGCAACTACAAGATGTACCGACTGCTGTGTTTTTGGATTCTTGTTTTTTTTTAATACTACTAAAATAAAGAAAAATTGCTGCTACTGCTCTGATGATTTTTATGTTGTTTTGTGTGTTTTTTTTTTTTTTGGTTTAAAGGTAGTTGTTTGGCTTGAATGGGTGTTGGAAGGTGGCGGTATGTTTATGGATTGGATGGAATGGTTGGTGTAATTTTTGGACGTGGGATTGTGGAGGTCGAAAGGGCACGAACCGCTCTGATACCAAATTGATGCCGATCGCAATGCATGAAACCAATAGGAAGAAGAGAGGAGAAAATAAGAGAGAAAGGGGAGGAAGAATGTATTTTATTCGATAATCAAGTCTGTTTTATTACAATTAACGGACCTCTTTATATAGGGCCAAAACAGACCTCTATCTTATTACAATTGACGTGGGAGAGATTGGTTTGCAGAGGCGGTTGCCAATGTTGGGAGGGTGGTCGACAGTGGTAGAGTGCGCGATACAAGCCCGATTTTGGTCCAAGGTAAGGGTGCCTCAAATTTTTTTTGAAAGCTCAAAACAATTATCCCTTATGAAATGCACCAATTACACATGGTATTAATATAAATTTTAATTTTAATTTCAATTTTACTGCCCACATTTTTTAATTCTGAAAGTACATTTCGTTTTTAAGGGAAAATAAATAATTTTTAATAAAGAAAAATAATATAAATTAGCTTGATTATGGGAACATTTCAAGACTAATTAACGGGCAGTTTAAGAAATTAGGAATTTCAAGAAGATTAATTAGGTACAATAAGATATTTTTTGTGTTATTTATATATGATATATAAAAAAATTTGTAGTATATCATAAAATATAATTTAATAGGTAAATATGATTTTTCCTTCTTGAATATGAAAATTGATTGTCGAACGAATCAAATGGTGAGTGGGTACCATAGGTCTAATGTTTTCCATCATGAAAAAGTGTTTAATTCAACCACGTTTGATGCTAATACACTCGTAAAAAAATTATGTGTAGGGCCTCATGATAATTTTTCGTCTAGGCCTCAAAATTTTCAAGCCAGCCCCGGTGAAGATACGTGGTGGGTCAGTGTTGATGGCAGAGCGGTAAGCGACAGAGCAGTGGTTAGCGTGTTTGTGATGGTGAATATGGTTTTACGTTGGGCTAATTGGTTGTGGTTGTGGTTGTGGCTTGGACTAGTAGTGGGCTTGGGAATGGGCTGAGTAATTTGGGCTTGACTTATAAATGGTTAATGTGTTTGTGGTTTGGACTGTGCTTGGTTATAAATTAGGCTAGGTGAGCGTAAGAGATATTTGCCAATATTGGGCTTAGAGTGGTTTAGGGGCCAAGGAGATGGTAGTGATGGATCGAGGAATGTATATAAAGAATAAAAGAACAGCAGCAAAACTTGATGAACGGTGCAGCAACAACGCAATGATGCTAACTGTTTTTTTTTTTTTACTAAANGTCTATACGAATTTTTCTTATATTTTGTGCAGCTCAAAAGTTTCTGTGCTTATAAAAGTGGATGGTTAGGGTTCTGAGGTGGTATATGTAATGGATGGAAACGGTTGGTGGACTTTTGGATTTGAGAACTAAAGATTTTAAGGAAATGAATTGCTTTGATACCAAATTGATGCAAGAGCATACAAATTGATAAAGAACACTAAGAGTAAGGGGATCAAAGGGAATAATTGAGGGCAAGAGAAATAATTTTATTCATATAATTCAGGCGTGTGTGTAAACATTGCCCTAAGTCCCTTTATATAAAGGACTTTGAAATTAAATAAACTTCCTATCTAAACAAACTTGATAATACAAGATAACATTGTCAAAATCAAATTACTATAATCTAGATAAACTCGAATTCTACTAATTATTAGTCTTTCGCCTGGAATAGACTTTTAATTGTTTCTTTGTTGCATCGACAGGTCAAATCAGACAATGATATTGACAGGTTTTGCAGCTCAGGATAAGATGTAGTAAGTGGCAAGACGCATATTTTTAGGAACAAAAGCGACTGAAAATGGCTTATGAAGTTTGGGGTATTAGGCTTGAGAGATTATGTATTGAAAATTATTTTTTTTGGCAGGTTGAAAATGTTATTTTGTATTCAATATGATGACTAAAAATACGGAAATACTACTGTTCATGTTGTATAGCATTACGCTGCTCATCAAATCCATGCATTTATTAATTTCTTATCCTTCCCTCATTCTTTTAGAACTTCTTGTTCCTTAGCTTCATGCCTTTTGTCACCTCATATGGAAATTTCATTTCCTAACATTAGAATTTGAACGGACAGCTCCCAATCATGTCATCACGTCAAGCACTTTAATCCACCTTCTTATTGAAAGTGACACCTAGAGATTCAAAAACCCCATTATCTTGAGGCATACAGGCTCCTGGTTAGCTTCTTGATGATTCCTTCAGTGAGAATTTTGGCAGACATTGAAATTATTTCTACAAATTTTACAGGGCTTATGTTGACTGCCTACTGATACCATTGGGTTCTAGAATCCTTTATTGTGATCAATGTAGCGTTCCTAAACTTTTGGCCCTTTATATTTTTACTATTTGGTTCTCCAATACATGTATCAGCCTTGAAGCATCTCTCATGAGGTACCCACTTCATCTTTACCATAATCCTCATTATTAATGACCTCTAACCACCCTTAGCTTCCTCCTATCTTTCTTCCTGAAGAGCGATAAAACTCAAAGCAGTTTCAAAGAGTCTGATACCTGGACCTCAAAACTGCTGAAATTCCTGACCTAATTACCTCCGTCGCTGATCGGTGTCTGGGTTCATCAGCCCATCATCACCATCTTCTGTTGTCCTCCTCTCCCTTATATTTTTTATTCCTAAATGCTGTAAGAGCTATATTTGAGATCTTTCTAAGAAGTAAAACCTGAAATTCTCTGGATATATTAAAAGACTGTTGTGCATGAAATCCGACCCTTTATCTTGTATAACTAGATGTGAACCTTTCTACATCTAGGCATCTAGAAAAGATGCATACATTCTTTTTTTTATATCTTTTTTCTTGTGTAATTGCTGATATAAATGACTAATTATGTCAATATTTTTCTCTTGTTCTTATTTATGCAGTCTTTATTTAAGAAGAAAAAGCTATTTGTACATTTCGTATTAGATCCCATCATGCTTAGTGATACATCGGAGGAAGCATCATTTGCTGCTAGATATGGTTGCTTGGTCAAAATAGATAAAGTAAGATTTTGTGCTCGAACATGTATATATCGTCAAAGAAAGTTAGAAATCAATCTAAAATTCTCTTACCTATCATGCAGGTTGAACAACTAGAAGTTGGAGCATTAGTCTCGATAAGGGGGGTTGGTCGCGTCAAAATATTGGAATTTAAACAGGCAAGTAAATAGTTATTTAGTTCAAAAAACTTAGGGTTCTATATCATGACTTCTCTATGTATTCTTTTTGTTGATAATTTTCATAGTCATGCGAGCACTATAATGGTTATGTGGTGTTCTTTCATACATTGTGTTCTTATTTTATTGCAGTATGGTTCTATATCTATACTTTTTAGGAATGATATAGTGCAGCCGGCAAGGTTTTATAGCTTTTTCAACCCATAAAGTTGGTGCATTATAATACTTTGGCGTGGAAGGAAATATAATGTAGATGCATTATGAAGAAAGCAAGAAATGACAATTTTGTCTCCTCTTTCAGACTGTTGTATGCTTAATCAGGGACTTTTATAGAAGTTAGCGGAAGTCGTCTTAATTTAACAACTTGTTCTGCAAGTTGTTGAAATTTTTGATGTCTTTGATGTGGCTTAGATACTAACAATTGTGTGATTCTGATTTTCTCCGAACACTTTTAAGACAGAAGTTTGGAGTTGAGACTCGTTTTAAATGGACAAAGTAATACAGGCACAGGTAAACCAGTGGTAAAATAGATTGACTATATTAATTGCTTGTACATACGTATACAAGCTTAAACTTTATCCTGAAAAAAGTCTGTTTCTTCTGATTCTGTCTGTGAAATACTGAAATTGTTTGAATGTTGCTAATAACACCATTTTATACATTCATACTCATCTTCATTTTATGCTTGAGTTGATATTTACTTGTCTAGGATACTGGTGCAGATAAAAATTTGGTCAGCGAGGGGCTTACTTTTACTTTTTGATTGAAATTAATGACTTGGGGAGGTCCAGTTTTTCATTTGATATTTTAGAAGGTTGTTTCATCCATTTTTATCAAGTACGTCCTGGAAACCTTGTTTTCTCGAACTTCTATTCTGTCCTCATCGGATTTCTTCTGGTGAGATAGGACAAGTATGTAGAATCTTTCCTTCCACATTCAATAGATAGATGATGTTTGTGCATAGAAAATTAGAATTTATTTGGTAGACCAAAATTAACACAGGAGCTTATATAAAAAAGCATATCTTCTGGAAGTTGATTAATATTCTTTGATTGCAAATGAAACATTTCTGTAAGCAACTGAATTCTCCTTTTTTTTTTTTTTTTTTTTTT